TGCTTGTTCCTGATGTCAACAGAACCAAGGATTTTGTTCCATGTTTGGTTTTTCAGTTAACAATTTACAATCCTGGGGGAAAAAAAATCTTAGGAAATGAAATCAAAAAGAGATTCGGAGAGAAAAAAATTAAATAGTGAAAATATTAAAAATCCTTATATTGACCTGATGCCCTGAGAGCCTTTCAGTGTTTAGATTAAACAAAAATTTTCTTATAAAATTTAGAATTTCTTTTTAATGGCCATTTAAATTTTTTAATCAGGGTTTTTGCTGCTTAGGACTGGCATCTAAAGATTTTTTCATATTTGTATATAAAGTATATATTTTGACATAAAATATAAGGTATAGTAGGAATTGTAAGAATGTCCTAAATATTATGTATCATGTAAGTCTGTCTTTCTCTAACTTTGATCCTACAGATATAATTTTCCCCCTTAATGTAGCTATCCATGCGTTCTAGTATTACTGCCAGACTTTGTTTAAAGGTTTTATATTTCTAGCCTGTATATCAAGTTTGTGCAAGTGGCTGATGAGATTAACTCTATAAATGGTATATGGCCTGTACAGCCCTTTCTCAAGTCAGTAGACTTGACCACTACGTTCAGTCATTCACTCACACACTGATGGTGACAAACTACATTGTGTCCTTGAACCCCAGTTGGCCTCGGCAGATCGCCGCCCACACTGAGCCTGGTTCTGCTGTAGGTTTCTTTTATTTAAAAAGGAGTTTTTCCTCTCCACTGTCTCTGTAAGCATGTTTGGTGTGAGGAATTGCCTTTGAGTCAATGAGTTGATGCAATTAACTGGTTTTACTTAGATAGAAACCTTCGAAGCAATTTCACTTATGATCTGGTTGAATTGTAAAGTGCCTTAAGATGACAAGTTGTGAATTGACGCTATATAAATAAACTGAATTGAATTGAATAGCCAGAGCTGCCCTGAGGCTCACTGGCAGAAGCACGGCTACACTGGCGCCACCAGTCCCTCTTACCACCATCAGTAGGCAATGCAGGTGAAGTGTCTTGCCCAGGGACACAATGACGCTGAAAGTCGGAACGTCTTGAACCAACATCCCTCCAGTTGCAGGGAACACTCCTTCCTTCAACGCCATCTTTAGTTGGAGTTTATCAAAACTCACCTACAGGTAAGTATGTTTTAAGTTAATTTTGACATTTACTGGTAAACAACTCAGGAATCTTTAATTGATAAATGTTATCTATCACAAGTGACCTTAGTGGTTGGTGAGGTTTCTGTCAGCTCTGTGTTCAGTGGTCTGTATCAGGGTCTCTTCCTCCTCAGCAGCTGCAGTCAGTTTCTGCTCTAACAGCTCAGTGTGACTGCAGTCTGACTGAGGGAGGTTTTTGTACAGCTAAAAATCACTGTGTGAACGCCCATGAGCCTGCTATTTGATGTAGGCTCTTACAGAAATAAACTGCTGCATCTTCAGCCTGGACTCCAGTGATCGTCAAAGTGAAGTCAGAGTTCCTTCCACTGCCACTAAACCGATCTGGTGTTTCTGTATGAAGCGTTTTTGCGTATTTTATCAGGAGCTTTGGAGGCTGTCCTGGTTTTTGCTGATACCAGAACAAAGCATCATCACCATCATCATATTTAAAAACAGCAGGATTTGTTGTACACCGAATAGTGACAGTTGATCCTGCAGTAAATGTCTCCACTGGAGGCTGAGTCACAGTCACCTGAGCGCTGCATCCTGCAGACAGAAACAAATCCTTCATTTATCAGCAGAAAGACATGAGAGAAAAAGCAGCACATCATGTTAGAAATGTTGGTGAGGGAATGAACCTGTTAAACAGCAGCAGGTCAGCGTCCAGATGAGGATGGAGATGAGAGTCATGGTGCTTGTTGTTTCTGCTGCTTGACTGACAGATCAGAGTCCTGCAGTGTTGAACTCTCAGGACTATAAACCTTCTCAGTTCCCTGGAGGATCAGCTGACCATGCAAAGCCTCCTCTCTATGGAAATGATTTCTCTGCTCTCAGCGCACTGGAGACAAACAGAGACACAACATCTGAACAAAGAGTGGCTGGATATAAACTATTCAACACCTAAACAAAAGAGAAGAAGATAAAATAGAGACAAGAAGAATTTTGGTATTTGGATTTAAAGCAAATCTCTTTTAAAGGTATAAATATTTCTTCCCTTTTACCAACAGATATTTCTAATATTCTAATACAGCAACACTTATAACAGATATATATAATTTAATAGTTTTGAGATTTGTATAACTTAGATTATTTTTTGAAAACCTATTTTAGGTTTTACAAAAAATAAAACATGAATTACTGAAGTATGTTACAACACTCTCCCATGAGGCAAAGAAATGTTTGCCTCTCTTGGGTGATAAAATAAAGAAACAAATCATAAATTATTAATCAATTTAAAGCTGAACAAATCCTTGAGGATTTGTTGAAAAAATGAAATATAAACTGTTATGTTTTTACTCTGAAATGCAACATTTCAGAAAAAAATTTGTTTGCTGTGAGAGCAGGAGGTTTTTGTACGGCCTCTTAATGAGTTTCTATCACTGTGGTGGACTTTTGGTGGAGGAACCAAACTCATCGTTGACTGTAAGTACAAGAAAGATTTTCTGCTGCTAAATTGAAATGTTTTTTTTTTTTTTTTTTGCTTTTTTATCTAATAAACTAAAAAGAAAGTTTTGCAGCAACTTTACTGCAGTTTGGGGGGGAAATCTCTGAAGATGAGCCTTGTAGAAGTCAGTGTTTGCTCTGGATTGTAAATAGTTTAAATCAGAGCAAAAATTAAACTTATTTTCTTGTGCAGCCATAAAATGTGTAGATCAATATTATCTACTTTATATGGTTTAATGTTTAATTCCTTTTTACAGCCGTATTTAATTCCTATTCAAAATTGTTTTTCTTCTTTACCCTTTATTTCTAATTCTAAGGTGTCTTTTTTCATCATCCTTTTGTTAGGATGTTAATTAATAGTAAATATCTGATCTGGATTCCTGTTAAACTGAACTAATATTTTATTAGTAAACTCAGATCAGCTTTGTCTTCATGCTTCATTTGTTTTCCATGTAGTTTAAAGGAAGTGAAAGAAACAGATGTCAACGTTTGAACTGTTTCCTCATGAGTGTTTCAGCTCTCTCAGTTTAATCATCAGAAAATCATCTCAGGGATTCATTATTAAGAGTCACTGATTATCAGAGACGTATGAAGATGTCATCATTAAGCATGAAGAATGAAGCTTTGAAGGTGTTTTTAGCAGCTCTCATTCTCATTCCTGGGTCTTTTCTCCCCCTCTCCTCCCCCTCTCTCCTCCAGTGGGTGTGGTGCGTCCCACCCTGACCGTCCTCCCCCCCTCCAAAGCGGAGCAGCAGCAGAGCAGTGTCACACTGGTGTGTCTGGCCAGCGGGGGCTTCCCTTCAACCTGGAGGCTGGGCTGGAAGGTGGGGGGCAGCAGCAGGTCCTCAGGGGTGTCTAACAGCCTGGAGGTCCTGGGGAGGGACTGCCGCTACAGCTGGAGCAGCACCCTGAGCCTCCCTGCAGACCAGTGGAGGAAGGCGGGCTCAGTGAGCTGTGAGGCCAATCAGAGTGGACAGAGTCCTGTCACTCAAACCCTGGACCCTAACCGCTGCTCAGAGTAGAGCTGCAGCTTCATGTCTGAACAGATTTCTAAAATCATTGTAAAATGCTCTTTAATAAAACCTGAAGTGAACTAATTGTTTCAATAAAAGTGCAGATTTATAATAATCATTTTCTTTGTGTTTATTTTTGTGTACTTGTTGAAATCTCATCTCATGTTGTTTTTAGTCTCCTTTCAAGTTTCCTAAAACCTTGTTGGCAATCCATATTTAAAATAACAGATTCTCTGTTAGAATTGGGTATAATATAAATATAACAAATAGTAAAAGCAATAAATTAATAGTTTGAACATTTTTTTTACAGCAGCCTCTGAGATGTGTCATTGACTTAGTTCTCATGATCTCTCTAAACCTGCAGCCCACAGTAAGACTGAAAAAGGTCTACATCACTTTGTAAACCCACATTCAATCACTATAGCAACCCAGACATTAATAATCTTCAGCATATTCATCCAGAACACCCCTGATGGTTAAAGTACAGATGCATAACATTTTCAAGGCTGATTTGTATGTTTAGGAACCGAACTGACTTCACTAGAATATATTTTCCCAGTTCAGCGGTCAGTATATTTGATCCTTTTGATTTCGTTCTCCTGTTTTACTGATGATTAACTTAAAAGTGAAAATAAGTGCAGAAAAAAACAGAACCAGTGGCTATAGTGAAAATAGGAATATAGACTTCATGTGGGACTGGGCAGTGGAGAAGTTTGATGCGCTGATGCCTTGGAGCAAGAAGTTTTTAGGTTCGATTTCAGTCCCGGCTCTTTTTGCATGGAGTTTGTATGTTCTCTCTGTGAATGCGAGGGTTCTCTCTGGTGGCATCTTTAAATTGTCCTTTGAGCTGAGTGTGTGTGCGTGGTTGTATATCTTTGTGTTACCCTGATGGAATAAGATGGATGGGTGGACCTATGCTTTGGCAGCCTTTTAGTTTATGTAAGACATTGAACTATAAAAATGTTATAATTTTGTTTACTGATTAACATTTAAAATAATTTTTTTCTTTCTAGCCTCTATATTAAGTTTGTTCGGGTGGCTGATAAAATTAACTCTATATTTGGATTATTGATTTAACAATTAACTTTTGTTTTTATTACAATCTTTCTTTGGAGTTTTGTGATAAGCTAAATAAAAGCATTATTAAATACATTTTGACTACTAGTAAACATCAAAATAAGCATCTTTAAATGATAAATGATATCTATCATAAGTGACCTTAGTGCTTGGTGAGGTTTCTGTCAGCTCTGTGTTCAGTGGTCTGTATCAGGGTCTCTTCCTCCTCAGCAGCTGCAGTCAGTTTCTACTCTAACAGCTCAGTGTGTCTGCAGTCTTACTGAGGGAGGTTTTTGTACAGCCAAAAATCACTGTGTGAACACACCACCACCATGGTTGCCCAGACAGTAATAATCTCCCGCATCCTCAGCCTGAACTCCACTGATGGTTAAAGTGTAATCAGATCCAGATCTACTGCCTCTGATTCTAGATGGAGTTCCTGAGAACAGTGTTGAAGCGCTGTATATAAGAAGTTTGGGAGGCTGTCCGGGTTTCTGAAGGTACCAACTCAGATCAGGACCAATATTAGAGCTTCCTGTGGCGCTGATGGTCACAGTGGCTCCAACACTCACTGACTTTGATCTTTCAGACTGAGTCAGGAAATTGTTGGCAGATGAAGCTGAAATGAAAGAAAAATCTATTTTAATTCAGAAGATTAAAGAAAAACAATAGATAAAATGTTCAGTTTGAGTTCAAAGAAAATAAAAATAAAAACTATCCAATAGCCTTAAAAGTCAGTCTGACCCTGAGTGAGAAAACCCAACAGAGCAATCAGAGTTACTGGAGACATCATCCTGATGCAGGTTTCAGAGTCAGAGCAGAAACACACGTTGGACCTTCTGTAACAGAGGAACTTAAACTGTGAGGAGCAGAGATGAATTTAGATCATGCAAATCAACACCTGCTCTGATGAAACAGGAAGAACAGAGATAATCCAAACCGCCACTTCATTTTCTGAGAATATTTAGTTCACCTTTCATGTTCAGCTCAGTTATTCTAAAACCTCAGTCAGTGATTTACATGAAATAAATAGAAATCTGAAGTTTTCTTAAATGAACAATATATACGATAGGATAGGTAAGTTCAATCTGTGTATCCATCCATCCATCCATCCATCCATCCATCCATCCATCCATCCATCCAGCCATCCTCTCAACCATTTTGTCCGTCAGGGTTACAGGGGCATGGTGCTACATTTCCAGAAGTCTTTGGATAAATGGCGGGGTACACCCTGGACAGGTCACCAGCCAATGACAGAACAACACAAAGACACTCAGCAGAAACAACCATAGGTGTCCACACTCATCTAAGGGTGATGGTAACATTAGCAAAATCTAACAATTATGTTTTTTTAGGGAGAGAGGAAGCAATAGTACAATGAAGGAATCCCAGACATGAATGGGGATTAACAACATTTAGAAAGAAAACAGGCTTGATTGACTGAGTGTGATAGCTGACTAAGCTACAAAATGTTTTTGTAACAAAGGGCATAAAATAACAGCAAGCTCAAAGTTACAACTCAATGTTTAAAAATGTGGCTTTAACCATTATGTAAATCCTTATTAAGGGTTTTTTTGGGGACCAGTGATGTTCTTAAAGTCCAGCAGCGCCTGGAAAGAAGGATCAGTGGTGCTTAACTTCGGACATCACTGATTAGGTTGCTCCAGTTAAAGTAAATTTTCTCTTTTCTGAGAAGAAAAAGTCTGCAGAAGGGCTTGACCATTTTGAAATGACAAAGGAGAGTGTTGAAAAGCTGAATGCAGATTACGAAAGTCTGTAATACGGACTCAATATAATATCTCTAAGGAGAGAATTTACAGATATAATTTAAAATTTAAAAATACTACACAATCTTTTTTTCTGAGACCATTTTCAAAAACACTAACAATGCACATGTTTTATTTGGCACAGTCGGCAGGCTAACAAACTGTCCTGTGACTCAAGCCCCTGAACTCCACCAAACCAGGGCCTGTAACAAATGGGCTTATTTCTTAACTTTTAATATTGCGCGGTACACCCTGGGCAGGTCGCCAGCCAATGACGGAATAATACAAAGACACTTAGTAGAAACAACCATAGGCATCCAGATGGAAAGAATCCCACACATGAATGGAATAATATGTAGAAAGACTACATTACTGAATGACTTTCAGTAGAAGATAAACTAGTGTACAGCAATGAAAAACGGCACAACAAAAAAAGATGAAATGTGAAACTGTCTGTGATAAATTGAAAAATCTATAAAATGTATATCTAACAACAGGCATATGAGATATTATTGTATTTTACCCATGATTAAACTAATGATACTTTTATTACAAACCTACTCATTTTGTATGGCAGATTTCATATACATAAATATAAATATTCCAAAATGTCCCCCAATTTCAGATGTTTTTTGCATTAATTCAAAGGGTACATAGAATCCCTTACATTAATTGATTTGAAACAAAGCATTACATCCACATATATATTTGAGAGATTTTTCAAAGAATAATGTAATTACACTTTTTTTTTATTGTTTCTTGTTTTATTATATTTTAGAGCACATTTCTAATATTCTTCTCTATAATTGTTTGTTTGTAAAACCTTTTCAATTACATTTATATTAAAAACGACGCTCAGTAGAAACAAACATAGGCATCCACATGGAAAAAAACCCTCACATGAATGGAGATGACATGTAGAAAGACCACATGCCTGAGTGAATTTCAGTAGAAGACTAGTTTACAGCTATCAAAAACGGCACAACCAGGAAAAAATGAAATGTGAAACTGTCCGTGACAAAATGTACATCTAAAATCCATCATTAAAATCAGCAGGCTAAAATGTACATACACAATAAAAGAAAACCTATGCCATTAAAAATAGGTATCTAAATCCTTAAGTTTTTTTGGGACCAACGATGGTCATAGATTAGAATAGAATAAAAAAAAAATCCCTTTTATTTTCCCCCAATGGGGAAATTCTTGAGACCTTAGAGCTGCTGGAAGGAAGGATCTGCAACACCTCTCCTTGGTGCACCTGGGGTGAAGCAGTCACTGAAGGAGTTCTCCACCTCTAAGACTTCATTTAATAGTTGACACTTCACCAATTAATTTAGAATAATAATCAACAAGACTTGCATCTCTAATTGAAATGGTCGTTAAATTATTTTTTTATTTAGTTTCTACTTAGAAGAAACATAAACATGTTAAGTTTGTAAAATGTAAATACAGAGAGCTCCATTAGTGCTAAAAGCAACCAATGAATATAGTTAAAATTTACACCTTTAACACCAGATTACCCTACTGGTGTGAGTCATGGTAAATAAAACCTTAATTAATTAATTATAAGTAAGATTTATTGTCTTTGCCAACAAGTACAACTTCTGGAAGGAAGCAGATAGAAGACAAAATGACATGCTGTCATCCTGAGCATTTTAATTTATAATATCACAAAACTTTTTTTTTAGAGTTAGATTTGATCATTACTGAAATTTTGGATATGTAAGAGATGCAAATGTAAATGTTCAGTATATGAAAGCTAAAGATTTAGTTCCCATTCCCTTTCCCATACCTCGAATGTGAGAAATGTTTGTATGGGTGTGCACGCTTCACAGATTCACAATAACATTTTCCTGCATCTTCAGCCTGAACCCCACTGATTGTCAGAGTGAACCGAAGCTCAGATCCACTGATGCTGAAAAGATTCAGACCAGATGACCTGCAGTTGGTTTTAGGAGGCTGCCCAGGTTTCTGCAGCTACTACCTGAGATTATCAACACCAATCATTAGGAGACTTAGTCACTCGCCATCAATCTGAACTGTCAGCAGTATAATCAGACACATCTTTGTCAATATAAATATAAATAAATCATATCATATCATACACTATAAAAATGAACCACACATATTAGTGCTGATGTTCAGGGAAGTGTAGCTGAGATTTAGATTAAAATAGGAACCACATAGGTGGAGCTGGATGAGAAATTTCACTTTTTAAAACATACAGCAAAGACAGGTACTGCCCTCTTGTGTCAGAAAAAGAAATGCACATTAATTAAACCATAAGCATTGTCTGATTGTATGGCAGATATAAAAATATATCAGGAAGAAATTAAGAAAGAGCGTATGAATGAGATAAAGCACACAATGTCGAAGATGAAGTAAAATACAGGAATCAAATTACAGCAGAGTTTGAAATAAGAATAGAAACTACCTTCATACTGAGCTCAAATCAAGAACTGAATTCCTTCTCTCTCTGTTCAGTAGATGTGAGATCTCTCTGACTGCAGTCTAAGATATCAGTTAGCTGGAGAAGCCAGATAGTCGGTCATCTATAGATCAGCCGAGGAAAATGTAGTCTCTCTTGTCTGTTCCTGTTAGAAAATAAGCTGCTGCTTTTACCCTGCATTTACCCAAAACTAAACAATTAAAGGTAAGGCGTTCATCTGCATTTAAATCTCAGTGTTAGTCCAAACACGCTTACCCTAGAAATGAGTGTACATTTTAGGAACAGAGGACGCAGGATCCAGGCAAGACAGATAGTGGAATAACAAATAAAACATTTAGTTCACAAAGGATTAGTGGGTCCACAGTATATCAACATCTAAGAGAAAAACACAAGTTAGTGACCACAATAATCTGATGGAGGATGATTATGAACATGTGAGTTACTAACCTGGTTTTACAATTCAGTCCGTGCCTAAAGAACGAGGATGATTCCAGCTGGTCGGCTGACAAGAGGCAGTGGACGCTGCCAGAGAGTTCCAGACGTGGAAGCCTAGAAGGCTGCAGAGCTGACAGGAGATCAGATCCGAGCTGACGAAGGAAGGTAGAATAATCCACACGGCGAAGTCAAGAGGCAGATCCAGGTTCAGTCCACAGAAGTATCCTAAAGGAGTCAGAAGACAGGCCAGGCAAACAGATCAGATAGTAGCAGTCAGGCTCAAAGGTCTAAATACAGAAACAGATCAAGAACAGGCAATCAGAACACTATAGAAATACTAGAGAACTCTCAACACCAAAGGATCAAGAATAATCTATCACTAATTGCTGGAAACAGGCAACATAAATAGCAGCTGGAACAGGTGGATCAGATGAGCAGTGGTGAGAAAACAGGGCAGAGCTAGACAGGCGAATGAAATGAGCAATCCAGCCAGCCATCAGCACCAAAATCATGACAATGTGACCCGGTAATCGGCCCAGACTTCTATCCATAAACTAACCCGAAATGTACCATACACAAGAATTGTATGGTACATTCAAGACCCATGCACTGATGCAGGCTTGGAAGGTTTATGCATGCATCTATATCTATTTTTTGAGATTTTATCCATGCATTTTATACATGCCTACATGAATTTTAAATCCATTAAAAGGTTTATATACTATGCATGTGGCTGATATTAATATTCTCACCACTATTTTCCCTTTTTTCTATTTATTTTTTTCTGTCTCTGAAAAGTTTCACTCCCAGTCCACCTGCACCAGTTAGGAATATCTTCAATTTAACTGGGCTGTGTTGAGCCATAAACCCAGATATATATTTTGGACATTTAGGATCAATGTCCAGGCTGGTATTAAGTTTGAAATTTATTTTAGGGATGATGCAGTTTTGCTCTGCTCTTGGACTCACCTTGCCACTTTCTCTAAACCCCCTTCTCACATGGGACATTGCTACTTGGACATTTGATTCTTTCCCCCAGCTTGCTTGGGGTCTTTTGCGGCTAATCTTGGGCCAGCCACTTAGAAGAGTCCACAGGAAACCAGAATCTGCAGACCAACCAAAGACTAAGTGGATCTGGTGGTT